GAAGAAATGTATATCAAGCGTCATTGCAGCTGGGTTAAAATAACTATACGTGGCCAAAAATTATAGAATTACGCATAAGTGCATTGTATAAAGTACGTGCACATTTTAAATATTACTCGAAGTGACGATGCACTGGTAGGTAAGTGCACATGAAATGGTGCCGACAACCACGAAATGCATTTCAGGAATGATAATGTACAGAACAAACAGGTGGCATTCAATATACAAAGCCCAGCAGCAGCGAATTCTCCAGACAACGGTTGGAAAAGACCATCAACAACAGCCAGGAGAATCTGGTTTAATCCGGTGCAATGCTCATTTCACCCTCTACATCTCTATAATATATACATGTACAGTATGGCAGAATAATGTTAAAGAAGTTGCTGGATACAGGATTTGTATATTTGCACTCATATAACTGATCAATGTAACGTTACTTCGTAAGTACTGCTGTATTGCTTCCTAACTTATAAGTGCAAAGGGTAGAGCAATGACCGTAACCAGTAGCGTTAGAGGACCGCAGGGGTATACCGGTAGATACAGATCTGTAGTTTATTTGAACTATAATAATAATTATTTTGAAGCATTAGTTCCATTACCCATTGTATGTACAGAACACAAGCGGAAAGATACAATTAATCATAGTCTGAAGCACTTCAGTATAAAAGATCGAAACAGTTATTAGCTCTCCGGAGATAAGGTACATTGTACGTTCTACATGTATTTCTGCTCCAACAGATTACAAAAACCTTTAGTTTAGCTTGACTGATCAGCAGCAAGCATGCTAGCACACTGATATGATTGACATGATGATGTTCGTACTGCCACTGCGCTGCACTAGCACTGCACACAATACTATAGAAACCACGAAAAAACATCGTCATGATGCGGCTGGGTTTGCACCACCGTACATTTTTGCGAGGTCAGTGGTGCAACAGAAGTCCGCTCCAGCTCTTGTGACCTTGGTCCTTGTCGATGGCGGCTATTGATTTGGCCAAAGTAGTTTCTCCCTTCTATTTGGGCATGTTCGTGCCTGATTTGGAAGTGACAACAAGCTGAATTCGTATCTAGTCGAGTAGATGAAACGAACTGGGGAAAAAAATTGCGGTACGCTCAAGGTCGGAACGAAAAAAAATTCTAACAGGATTTTTGGTGCCTGGCTCACAGTCTATAGTGCTCTACCAATGTAGAATCATGTCTAGATAGTAGATACACGAGTACTTGGTCAAAACTAACCAGGGTAGTCCAACCCAACCCACAGTGTATTCAGTTGTGCCAGTGATAGTTTGGATTGGTATTCAGTTGACATGGCAACTCATGCACATGCCAGGACTGCTCTAGTATCACCCAGCAGTGCTCTTTTCATTGTCTGATGCAAATGAATGGAACTCGTGTGGTGTGCCCTTGTGCTATGTGTGCTAAGCTTTTCCGCGTCGGCATCAGCACAGGCTAGATAGCAGCGTTACTGCATCTATAATCCAGAGTCCAGTATATCTCTTAGTGTGTTGCGTCAGTCTCCATTGTTCTGCTTTCATCATTAGAGAGGTTAAGTTTCACGTAAAAGTCTTACGTCCGTGAACTTTTACGTCAAAAAGTGAAAAAACTCACGTAAAATTTGATGTGTTTTACGTGAGTTGACTGTCCCGCACGTAAGTTCATGACGTGAGCTTTTGGAAGTTTCGCTTGGTTATTCCGACCGAATTTGTGTGAGTTTCCGGAATTTTATCGAGTTTGTTGGAAGATTTGATATTTGCGCGAACTATTAAAACCCGAATCCTGCCGGGCGAAATTTCACGTCACGTAGCACGTGTAACTTAACCTCTAAAAATTACACGTAACGTGAGATTTGCTCCGCGTTTTGAAAAAGGGCAAACAACGTGTAACTTAACCTCTCTATTCTCATCGCTTTGTCCCTGCACAGCTGCCACACTTGATGAGTACAACAGTAAACGGCAGCCAGATGCCTATGCCATTTGTGATCTGGCAATGTACAACTACATCGAGGTGAGGACAACATGTACATGTAGCTGCTGCTGCTGCTGCTGTTCACGGCGTTGCCGTGTGACTGCTTACTTCAGCAGCTGTGAACCTGTATTGTAGGGTAGCATGGGCTGCTGCAGGTGCAGCGATCCGTCTTATCTTCTGTGATACTCAACCCTCCAGACAGCTATCTGTTTCAACCTTGTTAGGTCTCATCAACACTGAGTCACTGGACGACCCGATGGCAATGAAGTTTATAGTGCGTTTCAAAAGTATAGACCTCTAGACTTTTTTAAATAATTCAAATTTGGTTTGAGCTTTTTGAGAAATTTCTTCGGAATATTGCTCAGGCAGCCCCGTAATTTTTCTCATGCTGGTATAAATTTCTAAGCGATTGAATAACAAACGCCTAATTTCGGAAATTTTATGCACAAAGTCATCACAGATTCGATGTGGTATAGATGCTGGCCTACCGGTATTTTGAAAGCAGAGGTCTGGACTTTTGAAACACACTATAGTG